GCCACGTTTAGAAAACAGGAGGAGTGAGATTGCTCAAGGCTATGGGCATACAGGGGTTCAATCGATCATAAACCTCAGGCTCCCCATACAAAACTAAAATTTTGTTTTGTGTCCTGATGAATGTCTGTCTACCATTGACATTTTCCTTGATGTTAATTCAATTCTCTTTTTTATAATTGGACCATTTTCCCTGTGCCATTGTATTCACTGAAGTATATGATTTGAATTTTGAAATTTTAAAGGTAGACAAGAGATTTCTTTGAGTTTTCAGGGTAAATAGACCATGCACTTATAAATTTTATATCTTTTCTTTGTATGTGTGTACATGTGAGTGAGTATGCCACAAGAAAACAGAAGAGATAAATTTCAATACACTTGTTTGAATACACTCGGGGTTTAAGTTATGTGTACTTGTGGGCAATATAATGGGGCTTCTGGAGACCAAACCATAGCAAGACCCATCCCAGCTCTTAATCACTGAGTCATTTCTCCAAGAACTTGGACCATAGACATTTGAAAAACTTTAAAATTTTTCTGACTTTAGGGTTATATAGAGGTGTACAAAACACATTTGTATCATGAAATGAGGATGAAACCTTATCAATGTAGTGTTATTCTTTAACAGTGTTGTGTCAGATTGATCTGGACATCAAGATGATAAGGGATGAAGATAAGGTGGTTAATACTTATTGCCAATATGATAAGATTTAAAGTCACCAATCAAAAACAATTTTGGAGTTTAAGGGTATTTCCAGAAAAGCTTGACCTTCTTAAGAAAATATGCTCTTGGTACAGATGGCTCTATTTTTTGGATTTACAACAATGATGGAAAAGGAAAAGCAGGGCCACGTATAATTAGATTTCTAGTCTGTCTTTTTCTTCTTTGCAAATGTAGGTACACCATAATCTTCTCTTTCATGATCCTGCAACTATGCTTTCTCTACCATGATTGACTGCACTTATAAAACATGAATTAAAGTCAGTCTTTCCTTTCTCATTCTGTTTTTTATTCTCATATATTTTGCCACAATTTTTATAAAAGCAATTAATACAAGTGATGACAGGAGTTTTTAATCAAATTTCCTCATTTTTGTATTTCATATTTGATTCTAACTATAGTGTTTTCTCCAACTCTATGAACCATGCAACTAAGGAAACACATAATTAATTGTGGGGAAATATGAGCATTGTTTTATGGTCAATCTCATTGTGTTTCCTAGGGACTGATTAATTTCTTCTATAGTAAGCATCAATTATTACAACACTAATTGTCATAAGTCATATATTCCTAGTAAGGCTATCCAAAAAGATACCCTTTTGGGAACTCCAAGGGAACAACCAAGTGACTTAAAAAGATCTGTTAGAGATGATTGGATTATATAAGGTTTAAAATCCCTACTGCATATATTTGCATACTACGAAATGTTTACAGTTTAGCTTAGAACTATTGAGTTTTCTTGTAATATTGAAGATGTAAAAATGATGTTGTGATATTAGAGTTTCCAAAAAGAGCTGCATGTTCTATTTTACTTTCAGTTGATCTGCTGATAAATTGACCTCTAAAGGATCTGAAAAAAAAATCTTCTCCATCAAGTTGACCTGGAAAATCTCTCTACATATATCTGAAAAGTAACAGATTTTAGAAACATGAAGAATCTGAATTGTTCTAAGGTACCAACTTTAAATTTCCATTGGTAAAATGTTAAAATGCACTGTCTAAAAATTTTTAAATATTATATATGTGAAGGAAATTAGAGGAGATACTAAAAGCAATGTAATTTAACAGTGATATAGTCACTCTTCTTTCTTTATTTTCTTTTTATATTTCACCATTCTGAGAGTTATAATAGCCAGACAAGTGTATTGAAATTTATCTCTTTACAAAACATTCTTTCTGTGCTCACAGGGAGCTTTTTTTGAAATATTCCATATATGATCAATGCTTATGTTGAATTAGAGTTGTGATTTCCAAACCACCATCTCCAGAAATTTTTTGCCCAGATACTTGGTTGTGAATTTTGGGGAAAGTCCTTAAACTCTAGCAATCAACCCCAAAACCTCTAAAGCAAGGTTTGAATGCCCAGAAACATGTCATTTTCTGAAGTTTTTTGTTGTTTACTAAAAATATTTGTATGCACTAACTTTTCCTCCTCCAGTGGAGAATAAGATGCCCCCATAATCTCTTTATTAGTCTATCATTTAGTCACAACAAGAATGCATATACAGAAACACTATGAAAGAGAGCGGCAGGAGGTGGGGGAGGAGAAAGTCAGAAACTGAGTGAGGAAGGAGAAGAGGGAAAGACATAGAGAAGTTGTAGGAGGAAGCAAGGCAGGGCAAAGTCCTGAGAGAACTTTTTACCTTCTTTCCACCCCTCTTTAGCAATAATCTTGATCATTGCAGATTGGGTGTGCAGTGTATATCCTCCCTTTAGGACTGTATTCTGTAGACTCTTTTTCTTTTTACCTTAACATGTTTTGGTTCTCTATGTTAATCATATTCTATTGTAAATAGAAGCAGCTTGCATTATTGCTGAGAGATGCATCAATCTATGGGCATAAGCATATGTCTATATTGGCCACTTTAATATTAAACTCATTTAAGAGTATCATAATGAAAGGCTCTCCTATGGGGCATATAGACTGTCTTACTAGAAAATATTAGTATTTGCTTAAACTAAATTTTCTTTGAAAAACATAGCTAAAATTTTATATACCTCACCCTTTGAAATCTATTAGGGAGCAAATGACTAAACAATTAATGTCATTTATGATCAATTTGCTTTTCATGCCAAAGGTTTTCATAATTGAACAGATTTTTCTCATGGCATTCTCTTATTCTTATACTATCAAATACTTATATACAATTGTAGTGAGATATCCAACCCACCCACAACCTGTAGCACTGACTATGCGAGTTTGGGTGTGGTCACAAGTGAGGATATGACAGAGGGAGAACTAGATCTGGGGTCCCTGACCCCAGGGCTCTCTCTTGCTTCTGGGCAGGTCTCAGAAGTACAGCCTGTGGGGATCCTTTTTGTTTGTTTGGTTGGTCGGTCAGTTTTTAAGAGACAGGGTTTCTCTGTGTAGCTTTGGAGCCTATCCTGGCACTCGCTCTGGAGACCAGGCTGGCCTCAAACTCACAGAGATCTGCCTGCCTCTTCCTCTCGAGTCCTGGGATTAAAGGAGTGCGCCACAAACTCCTGGCCCTGTGGGGATACTTAGAGCGGAAACCTGTGATTGCCATCTGTTTCTTCTGTAAGTGACTTCTCCCTAAAATAAATTATATTTAATATTATTATCTAGTCCCATGAATCATTATCCATTCCTCCACACACAATAGGTTTACCTAAACCTTTGGAGTCAAAATTATTAAGATGAAAAACCATTAAGAATAATTGTGACTGTATTGTTGGTTAGAGACTTTACAATATTGAGAATTACCAATCAAACAAACAAACTTCTGAGTACATTTTCATAGAGGGTTGACAAAGGCGGAAGATTCATCCACTTTTGTGAGGTACATCATTATGTGGCCAAGGGTCCCATAATGAATCGAAAGGTGGGTGTAAGTGACATGAGAGAATTCAAATCTTTCTTCTTAACAACATAGGCAATGTGATTTTTCAAAATGTAAAAGTGTCACATATTTAGGGATAAAGAATAATGTTCATGAAAATAAAGGGATATTTTGTTGGAATAGATTAGCCCTGTCTTCAGAAGTATTGACAAGAACTCCAAATTAAACCGGGAAAGAGCATAGGAATTACCACTGTCAAATAGTCTGGGTTAGAGAGAGTCTTAAGAGTTGCAAGGTTATTAGAGTTGAATCTGCTTAGAGAGATAATCCCTGCCTAATCTAAAGGGAAGTTTGATCAGGTTGATGAGCAATTTTTATTTGATTTATAGGTAACTGGCTTGTCAGAACTATCATTTGGAAGAGAAAATTTGTTTCCTTTTTGCTGATCACATCTTCTCACTGAGTCAGTGTCACCAGTAGTCATCTGTCTACTACCCTCCACTGTTTAAGCAATGTTTATGGCAACAAATAAAGACATCTTGGAGTCCTCTGCAGTCTGGAATAGAGTATGTAAAAGATAGCAGTTAATAAAATTGCAAATACTTTAGTTAGCTAATATTTTCTTCAGTCTTATAGGTTTATTGTTACTGACTTGAGGTAGACAGCACGGTTATCTTTTTTCTCAATGTTTAAAACAATCAAAACAAAGGAAATAATGGAAGATAAGGCAGGATTTTATCCTACACTTTATTATCCACTGCATTTGCAATGGTTTTAGGAAATGTAGCATTTAGTCACTATTATAGTTTTCTTAATGAAACCAGTTAAGTAAATAATTTACACAAAAGGTCAAAAATTGGTCCAAATTCTTTGTTGCCACTCTCATAGGCATGTAAAACAAAGGCAAAGTTGAGGCTACAAGATTAAATGGAACTTTTTGGTATCATTTTTGTCTTTTCTCAACTTTATTTTCTGTATTTTTAAAATATTCTTTACACTTCAAATAAAATTCAAACCATGGAAAACCATGAATGTTTTTCTAACCTTAAAAACTTCCCCTGAACAGTAAAAGAAGACTAATTTATATCTCACAGTGTTCAAGCTAATTAGTCTTCCTTTTAAAATCTATGAGTTAATATTATAGAGATCAATTGTGGAAAGCTGCATAAGATATAAACTCCTAAAACCATCATAGAATGGGAGAGAGATAAAAAGGGGAGTGAAAATGAGAGAATGAAGTAGGAAGAAAGAGGAGGAGAGAGACATATATGTAGGAGACATATGTAGAAACATAGGAAGGAGAAGGCAAGTATGTGGGAGTGAGGGAGGAAGAAATGAGAATTTTATGGAAAAGTAGCAGCAATTTTGGCAACTTACTGACAATTTTCCACTTAGTGTATCTATACATCAATGTAAGTATTTATGGCTTTGCCAATTTCTGTTCATTTTTCCTCATCTCACAGGCTGTGAAAGAATATATTATGTCCAATGTCACTGCAATAACCGGATTCATCCTTATGGGGTTCTCTGATATCCATGAACTAGAGACTCTATGTGGAGTGACATTTCTGTTAACATACCTGCTGACACTAATGAGTAACTTCCTCACCATCACTCTTATCACCCTGGATCTAAAACTCCAGTCACCCATGTACTTCTTCCTCAAGAACTTGTCCCTGTTGGACATCTTTCTAGTATCTGTCACAATTCCAAATTTCTTTGTCCATAGTCTAACTTACAACAATTCAATTTCTACTCTTGGATGTGCATGTCAGGTATTTTTTATGGCCTCTTTTGGATCAGGAGAAGTATTTGTCCTGACTGTCATGTCCTATGACCGCTATGTTGCTGTTTGTAGTCCCCTGCACTATGATGCCATTATGAATAATGTCACCTGCATGCTGATGATGGGTGCATCTTGGAGCACTGCATTACTTCTTGGAGTCATGTATACAGCTGCCATATTTTCCATGCCTTTCTGTGGTTCTAATGTAATCTCACAGATTTTTTGTGATGTTCCCTCATTGCTAAGGATTTTGTGCTCTAAATCATT